ACCAGCTCCTTGTATGGGTACTTCGACGATGTCATCACCCAGCAAATTACTCTAGGTTAAATCATCAAATGTCGTCAAGACATCCACACAAGGAGGCAACATGTCAACTTAAGGCCGAGTGATTCTATCGATTTATTCAACCAGAAAGTCTAAATTCCACAAGAGATGGCTCTCATATTCTAAGTGTTCTCTAGTGGATAAGGCTTTGTTTGGTGTTTGAAATTTATGGGTACTAGATTTGAGTCTCTTGATATCCATACTGAAAATTCCATACCTGTACCAAAAATACAGTGTGGGATCAAGCTGTAAATAAAAAAAAAAGTGGGAAGACCACTGCAGGAACATTCACTAGCTGACAACTTATCCCAAATAGGAGAATGAAATGAACCTTGTCCTGAATTCCACTACTAGTCTCAGTCACAATCTACCAAAATTACTTCAGAAATATCTGAATGTATAACAGAATTGTATCTGTTACGAGTAAGCTGTCATCATTATGAATGAAATTTTTCTTAGTATTCAGTAGTACTTTTTATGGAACTTATTGACTTCTTACAGTATAAAACGACATTATGTACACATAAATTAACATTTTGATGTAGTTGTATTTTATGAGCTGAGTGGTTTATGTGCGAGGCTTTCATTGACCCACCACTAGTCAACATCTTCAGCACGAATACTCCAACTTGAATTGGAGTGAGCTTTTAGATTTATCTCTCCACCAGTTAGTTTATTAGTCATCTCTCCTGGTGAGTGGCGATATTGATTTCAATCAAATATCTAATCATCGAATTTTACTTATGTATATAAATGTACTCGAAACGTCATCAGTAAATATTACTGTATAACAAACACTGGGATTTTATCAAAGTAAAGTTTTATCCATAATGGAGTTATACTGGTAAGGCAATTTTTGTAACGCATTATACTGTATCAAATTATGCTATAGCTCAGTACAACTGTCTGATATGTAAATGTAGAACATTCAACGCCTTGCTTATTCATTATTATTGTTTTGTTTAGTTCCTAGAAGAACATAGGGCTTCAGCCAAATGTCTCTATTGCGTTCGGTTCTCTACCAGCGTTCCCACCTGGGCTCCACGTCTGCCCGCCTACTTTCATCTCCTTTTCTCATTACCGCCTCCTCCATGTCACCCTCTCACTGACGACCGATTCCCCACTGCCCATCTTCCTTCCACTTGAGCGATGGTACATCGTTTAATGTCAGTTGGTGGGTCTTTTTCCTCAAAGTATGGCCAGCCAATCCACCTCGATTTCTTCCAGCATATTTGTTGCACAGTTGGTTCCAGCTGAGTTGGTTCGTTCACTGCCAGAGATCCCACCCTGTTGGTGATGTTTTCTGACCGGCCATCTGATCTTGAGTAGTATTGAGCAAAGACAGGTGTTGATGAAGGTGTGTAGTTTGTTCGAAGTGGTCTTCTTGACAGGGCACGGTACCAAGTCTCTAATCCGCATAGTAGCACTGACTTACTTCACATTGGAGTTGAAAATCTGTAACTTCCTACTCTTGAGGGAAGTGTATTTATTTCCATATTCCACGTCTTCGAAGTCGTGTGATTCTAATTGATGAAATGATTGTGAACAATAAATTTTGTTCGAAACCTTGTCATCCACTATGTAATAATACTGTTTCACACTGTGTGTGTGATATATCTAATACACAAACTAATATGGAATTACTTACTAACACAGTGACCAAGTTTTACATATATATTAACAGGAAATGTATTTAGCTTATTGACAATACATTACACTGTAAGCAGGCATCTTTGCTAGTCGCTGTCGTCCAGTAAATAATCAATACATCTGGTTTATTCCTATAAAATAACTAGTAAATAAGCTTTTATTCCAGCTACTGTGTGAAATACAATGTATTTCAAAGATATTGATTAGTTTCCTTGATAACAGCAGATACGCATTACCAATGATCGCTAACGAACAAGTGGATTAATTTAACTAGAACTTTCCTGGTGTATTATAATTCACAGCACCTAATACTTCCTTTTATAAAAAAAACCACTTCAAAATTCAGTGCTTTTGAAATGTCTGTCAGACTACTAGATATATATTCCAAGATAACACCCTCAACAATATTGCCATTCTAATATAGGTTTCAAGATTAATTGATGGATGGTGACTAACAGTGGAATCCAGACAGGATAATGTGCATTTCGTCCTATTTAGGATTCGTCATCAACTGGATTTACCTGCACTCTCCCGTGAGTGAGTGAGTGAGTGAGTGAGTGAGTGAGTGAGTGAGTGAGTGAGTGAGTGAGTGAGTGAGTGAGTGAGTGAGTGAGTGAGTGAGTGAGTGAGTGAGTGAGTGAGTGAGTGAGTGAGTGAGTGAGTGAGTGAGAGATGATGTTCCCACCATTGAGGCTCAAACCCAGTAGCCATAGTTTCAAACACTAAAGCGTTATCCACTAGACCAGTTGAGCTACGAGAGCCACCTGCTTCTTGCACAACAAGTCATATTAATTATTGAATTGAATTTTAGATTTTCCCGTTGGTTGATTGGACTGAAGTGCTCTGTCTCAGGTTGACATGTCTGTCGGCTTCTTGTGCAGATGCTTCGACGATGTCTGGGCATACAATCAGAATTTAGTTGGTGGATGGTGAATAGCCTTGGTGGGAACGTCATCATTCATTGGGGAATACATGTGTATCCAGTTGATGACGAGTCCCAAAATAGGACGAAATATGCATCATGGATTCCACTGCTAGTCACCATCCACCAATTAAATTCTAAGTGAATGCCCAGACATCGTCGAAGAATCTGCGCAAGAAGCCGACAGACATGTCAACCTGAAACCGAACACTTCGGTCTAATTAATCGACGGGAAAATCTAAAATTCAATTAAAATAAATTAGTATGATCGAAAGAACTGTTGAAAACTAAGGAGAAACGGACAGTTGTTTTGCCTCAACTCGGGATATCACTGCTTTGATATGCATTGATGGTTTTTGAGTCCCTAAAGAGTCATCAGTTGAACTAGAAAAACTTGAAAAATCATCAGCCATAGGTAGTCTACACGCCATAGAATCAGACCACAGAACTGACTTTGACAATATTGAAATTATCATCCAGAAAAATTTCAGAAATCAAAAAAAAAAGTTTGATATTATTAAAAGCACTTCATATGATCGAATGGAATCCAAATTGTCTGAATAGGAATGATAGACCAGAATACCCCTTTTCCCCTTGAAATTACAAAATCAACACGAATGTGATAAGCAATTTCATTATGTAAATATACACGCTACTTTTATAATTTTACGCACTGATCAAATTCAACAATCTACATTTGGTTTTGTTATATTACTAATTGGCCAACTTGACAACGGATAAATGACCCCATGCTGAGGAACGATGATTAGGCTTTTAAATATATGCTGAGATTTTGTAAATTCTGGTTTAATATTACTACTTTGATAAAGCTATTAGAAGCATTAAATAGCGAAACGTCAGTTAAAAAAACGATAACAATATCGCTTTGTCTATTTCATTCATTGGAAAATGTGCGTCGGTAGCATGGCGGTTAGGACGCTCGCCAAACACGCACATGGTCCGGGGTTTGATTCTCAGCCATGGACGCAATCCTTTCCCTCACTTAGCCAGAAATAATGCTAGTAAAGAGGAAAGGTTGGGCATGAGGCTAGCAACCCCATACTGTAAAATAAACACTGTTACAGAAATTTTAAGTCATTAGCTTGAAGCCACCCTATGTTCCACTGGGGGACGTGAAGGGGAAAAAATTCATTGGAAAATACGAAAAACCTTTATTATGAAGCATTATTTGGCTTTCACGTTATATCACGAACTACTAGTAGTTAACAACTATGATCTTCAGAATGACTTTGTCGCCGTTTGGAGTCTGTCAGCCTTCGTTTGATCTTTACATCTAGTGATGTTCATACAACACTGAAGAATGCCAAAGTAGATGGTGGTACATGCCTAATGTAATGTAATAACAGCAAACAGTAGTATTTGGTCCTAGAATTGTTGACATTTCTTTCTGCCTGCAGCTCTCTTATCTGTTATGTCATCTTTCAGGGGTCTTGGAATTCATCAGTCACTGGTGAGATCTCCATCAGCTTATTCGTTTTCGTAGGTTAGGCTAAATTCACTGCAACTGGCAAAAGATAGAGAGGTTTTGTGAGCATTTCGGATTGTGAGGGCGATTGTTACTTCCCGGCTGCCCACACCGTGGAAGTTGATTGCGTGACCGCAAAAGATAGCTGTAATGATACGCACTCCACAAACTGCGAAGTTAGTAGCTGAGTTTTCGAACCTTTATCTAAGGTTGGTAACTTGCGTAATACTAGATTTCTCCGGATTACTGGCACAACCAACGTATCTCCGTCTTCACCACTCCACTGGCTCCTGAATGTTTTCAAATGTCTATCGGGCTGTCAAACTTTGAAATCGACTGGTCAACGGCCTGTTAGTCAGTTCCACGGGAACTGTGATGGGCAGTTTTCGCCAGACCTCTTAACAGTATCCCCAGAATCACACTGCCTTCGATGTCGGATCCTCAATGCCTACCAACCTCAACAACACCTATGAAATCTCACAATTTCTTCCTTTTCCTCGAAAGTCTAAGACATGACGGCATGATCTTCATGTCGTCGAAGGCGGCAGTAACAGCAAGTGTCCCACGCTCTTCTTAACCTTGGTTACTATTAATTCATCACAAAATCTACAGTCTAGAAATCACCCTTCTCTTGGAGGAAAACTACTATATAAGCCACTAACCAAGTAGATTGGAGATTAATTCCAATCACAGTATATGTCTTCTTATCATGAAGCACTTTCAGATAAGGTAACAGAATGCGGAACTCGGAAGGCAGATTATTATTTACTTTACACGTTGAGTTAAAAAACAAAAAACTTTTATTCGTCTTGAATACATGAAATATACAGCACTATACAATTGGTGGATGGTGGCTAGCAGTGGAATCCAGGATGCGCATTTCGTCCTATTTGGGACTCGTCAGCTGGAAAATCAAAAATTCAGTTCAATATACAGCACTATTCTTTATATAATCGTTTTTATTGTCAAAATATTGTCATTATGAGTATTTATATAAGTTGGAACATGAATAACCTTTTCAGTGATATTTGTAATAAAAGGAGGTGGGGGGAAGGGGCAACCTAAGTAATAATTCGTGAAACTTCATAAGATTTACAAGATCTATCTTTATTCAAGGAGACTGAGAAAAAAAATGCTTATGATCGGCCATTATTTTTGGTTTTTCACAAAAAAGAAATTGTTTTGGTTAACATTTTCACATACTACTTAATAATAATATTATTAATGATGATAATAATAATAATAATAAGTATATTACTGTTTGTAAAATGTCTCTGTCAATTTCAGACATGTTCATCAGGAATGAAGAATGAATTTATGTATGGGTATGTGTGTACAAATGGTTACTATAGTGATGGGTAAGATATCATTTAACATTGGGGAAAAACAAATCACAGTGGAATTCTTTTTAGTGTTGTTGTTGTTGTTGTTGATAATGATACGAGATTGATACTTACTACTCAAATGGGACCAATATCAGTAGTATGCATAATGTAAGTATTGTCACCTAACAAAATTAAAATATTTTCTTAAATACTCTTCTTTTTCAAAATTTATGCCTTTTTGATAATTAATTTAGGGATTAAGAAGACGGAGAACAGGAAGAAGCTGTTGCGGGATTTCGTTTGATTGATGTCATTTCTGCGTCTAGTGAATTGTCAAGAATTTTAGACATTAAAAGGGACAAATGTCTGATATTATTATTACTATTATTATGAGTACCATTGTTGTTGATAGGCTTCTTTTCAACAGTCGATATAAAATTCTCTGATAAACTGGAACTTGTTCGAATTGAATCTGTTAGTGTTGATGTACTGTTGCCTAGTGACGCTGATTTAAACAAATTAGGTGAAAATTTCATCATCATCATCATTGAAGAATCTCTTCTAAAATCTGATAAACTATTCGCTTGTGTATGATACGCTGGCTTTACTGAATTTGGCGGTATAAACAAGTTTATATCGTCATGGTGATTTTTATTATGGAGAATAGATGGACGACAATTAAAAGTTTCAGAGATTGATGAAAGCTTCACTGAATAGTCTTCGTGGATAATATTATCATTTCTTAGGGGGAAATAATTCATTTGAGGGTTATAACAAGATGACAATTTTTGTTGGTCTGATAAGTATTTACCACTATATGATGCGAGAGAAGGCGAAGAATTAAATGTACAATCAAGATTTTCATTCATAAAACTGTTGATATCTGAATATCTTAATTGATTTTTAGTCAGGTTGAAGTAGTCTATACTTGTTCTTGTCCCCCTGTGATGATCGCTTGTCATTAAAGCTGGTGTTGTGAACGATGTTGATGATGATGGTGATGACAACAATGCTTCTGTTATTGGGTTCATTGGAATACGTGATTTGAATTTCTTCGAATTATTCAATTTAAAGTTTACAATATTAGTATTATTCTGACTTCTTTCTTCCCCTTGAAATCCTGTAGTTGGAGTTTCTGATGATGTTGCTGTTGTCACTAGCCATGACTGTAACCATTTCCCGGAGGATTCTGTTTAAACATTTGTTTATAACGATTCACTGAATGTGATCCTAATAAATGCTTTGAATGCATACACTTACGCATATGCTTTTCTAGTGTAGACGGGACTATAAACGGTGTATGACAATATTTACATAAATATCTTGGTTTACCATCTTTCCCATGAGTTTTCATATGTCTTGTCAATTTAGACGATTGTGCACAAGCATAATTACACAGTTTACACTGATAAGGTTTTTCACCTGTATGACTACGTCGATGTACTGTTAGATTACTACAATTTTTAAATATTTTACCACAATATTCACATGTATCATTACGTTTTGTATCACGTCTTGGTGGGATTGAATTACCCGATGTAGGGGATAATAACCGAGGGAATTTTACTGTTGGTGGGGATAAAGATGTTGAGGGTATATTATTTGCAGGTGATTTACTAAAAGTTGATAATGATTTTTTAACTGGCGAACGTCCTGAAACGTGGTTATTATTTGTGGTAGGATTATTATTATTATTACTACTGTTGAGTGTGTTGACAACAGAGGACATACGAATCGAATTTAAACCCCGATGTATTCGTGTACGTTTATGACTTCCTGGAGATTTATGCTCTGACCTACCATCACTATTGAATCGATTCATAGGACCCAGCCTATTAGATGATGTTAAGATATGACAGCTACTTGTATTATTACAGTGATTGTCATTGATGGTATCAACACCACCGCCATCATCGTCATCAATATCCTCATGAGTAGTAAAGCATGCATATGACTTCTTGAACGGTTCTTGAGAACTCATTATTTGTACAGAATTCTCCTCACCTATATCATATAGATTCTGTTGAATACATCCTCTTTGAGATTGTATAGGTATATTCAATGGCATTGCTGATTTTGATGAGGATTTTTTGCAGTTTTTTGAATTTATTGGATAAGTTGAAGCGTAGTTACTTTGTAGATCCGTTTTATTTTCAATATACAACTCTTGTGATTCATTAAACATCTTTTTACCAGTGGCGCTGTCATCCATAAAATTGTTACTCATACTACTATCAATCATAGAGAAACTAGTAATATGTTTACTTTCATTTCGATTTACTAGATAATCAGTATTTTGAGAGTGGCACATGTCTTGTTTCATTATATATCCCTTTTTATTAAAGTTTTCTGTAGAACTTTTCGAGTTATCCAAGTCATGAATCATGTCATGATGTCTGTTGGATGGTTCAATGAAATGTGAATCGAATTTACTACTACTACTACTAATATTCTGTTTATCAGTAATATGTTGTGTATTTATTAGACAGGAATTTGGATATGGCATTGTTTGTGCATAATTACTACTATTACTATTACCAGTAGTATTGATAGTATTTTTACAGTTTGAACTATTCTCCGTTGACATTTGATGTTGAACAAAGTAACGCAGCATCTCTTCATAATAACACGTCAAATAATACTGTAAAAATGCTTCACGAGTTGTTGTTGTTGTTGTTATTGATGAGTCTACTGTTTTATCATTCTGTGTAACTAGATTTTGCATACTACTCAAATTCGTGGGACAACTTATATCATCGTTGAATTGCATCGATGTGATTGAGGCTAATGTTGATGTCGACGTCGATGATAACGATGGTGATAATGATGATGATGGCACCGAAAAAGATTCAAAACTATTCATAACATTTTTATTCTTTAATGATACCTTAGAATTACTGATTTGTATTTTTTGTTCAATATTTGTATGATTCAAGGTTGTCGGTTGTTTTAATGAATTCATTGAAACAAATGTTCGCGGGATTTTCAATATATGAGGTGAAGAATTATACGGATGAATACTATTATTATTATTTAATTTATTAGATTTGTTAAGATAATTTGATATTTTGGTAAAATTTTGAGGTATTTTTTCAAATGAATCATAACTTGAACTTCGAAATTTCATTTGTAAATTATTATTATTATTATTGTTATCGTTAGTAGTAGTATAACAGCTGTTATCATTTGAAATAACATCTAATGAACAGGATACAATTGAAAGAATAATTGGTGGGCAACTTTTACACCTATTCAATAAATGCACATTTTTACATCGGTTTTGAGTAGTTGTACTCATATTTAATGCAGTCTTCTTTTGTCGTTTTTTATTCATATGTAATTTTGTAATTTTCTTTTGTATAAGAAGATTATTAGAATAATTAATAGTATTACTGTCGCTTATTTCATTCTGACAGACATTAGTCTTGTTGTCGACTTCAGGGGAGTAGAAATTATTGAATGTATTCATAAATTTATCTTTTTCATAATCACATAAATTTATCAAGGGTACAGTTTGTGGTGGTTTCCTCAGCAAAACATCATTGTTATTGTTGACGTAATTGTTAAAACTGTTACAACTACCGTTGTTGTTGTTGTTGTTATTGTTGTGATTGTATGAAACCCTATCCGACATTTTTGAATACATTAAATTGTATAGTTGACTATAAATTAACCAATTTAATGGAGGATAATCATCTTGCTTTACAATCGATGGAGTTGATTGCATCCGATTAGTATTATTTGAATGAATTACCGGCGGACAACTATTGACTAGCGTCACATTTGATGAATAAGCCTTCGATGACTGATTCATTTCTATTGAATTTTGTTGAACAACACCAGAAGGCTTTAAGATATTCTGTGATTTATTTAATGGTAACGGGATTGAGAATGCTGAGGAATGATGTTCCACTAGGGGATTTGTAAAAGACGAAGGAGGATATCCAGTCATTTGAAGTAAAAAAAATTTTCTTTTGGTTTGTTGTTTCGACGATTCTATATTTAGTCTAGATAAAAAGAGAAAAATAGAGGAGGAAGAGAAAAAGAAAAGAAAATTTTAGTCAAGTGTTAGTTTGCAAGGATTTGATCTGATTGGTTACAGGATTTCAATATGATGAGATGAAATCGGTTGGAAAAATAACTGGGAGTACTGGACAGCTAGTTGTTTCTTTAGCCTAGTTAAGGACTGCTTAGGGGGGTGGGCACAACACCCATTGCGGTCCGAACTCAGGACCTAAGCGTTGCATGGAGAACTCCGGTGAATGCCTACCGTTGAATAGCACCAAACTAGGCCGACGAAAAAAAAACAGTTGTTTAACTCTCCAGTAGTCTGGTGCTGATTCTCCAATAGTTCTCCAACCTAATCTTAGCAGCTCATGATGAAATTCTTTGGGGGAGGGGGGTAATTTAATGATTTCAATATTTTTTTATTTCAAAAATGGTGGAATTTAAGTGAAAATTTTCTATAGAGATTTATCTATTGGGTATTTGATGACTACAAAATAAAACATTCAACTTTTATTGATAATATATATGAATAAATAAATAAGTAGTAATAATAATAAAGCTTTATTTCAGATAATATATGAACACACGATACAAAAAAATTTTCAGCTTAAGCATTTAACCAGCATTTTGATGAATAGAAATTCTAGTATCCCAGGAATTTAAGCAGTCCGCCAAAACAAACAAAAAATATTCAATAAGTACATATACATAATCAAATGATCAACGGAATGTTAGGAAGTGATATTACATGTGTATAATCTAAGCTTGAGGCTTCTAGATAGCACTCACTTGTTATGAGATATGTAAATTATTTCAAAACTTGGGCACTGTGGTAGGTAGAGTATAACTCCATTATAGATAAGATTTTATTTTGATGAATCATGCAGTGTTACGCAGTAGTTTTACCATATATAAGAGAGGGAGGGGATATCTGAGATCCTACTTAGTAGGATTCTCAATAAAGCAGGAATTAGGGTGAAGGCATTCAAACCTACAAACTCACTCAGAGAGGAGAAACTGTGTAGGCTGAAGGAACCTGTCAGCTGACCCGATTAAACAAAATGAAATAATTTACAAAATACCTTCCAATGACTGTGAGTCAGTTAAGTCAACTACACAGGTGAGTCAAACTAGTAGATCAGGATTAGTAGTGAGATTAGATCAGAACATAAGAATTTAGCTAAGGCTAGAATCATTGAACCCAACCGTGAAGATAAGTGATTTAGAAAACAATTCAACAGTTGTACTGGTTGGTTTAACACACAATTGACAACTGAATCCTGCCAGGTTCATCGAGTCTACACCCAACACATGCAACAGAAATGATTCAAGGCGGCAAATACCAGAGATATGGGAGATATTATTATCACCACCACCAGTCAGTCAAATCAGAAGAGGATAATAAGTAATCTTAAAATTCTATTTCAGTTCAATTCACATACATTCTAACAAGTTACTTATTTTGATTATAAAAACACTCGTCTTATTTCCCATCTTACTGAATTTGATTGATAACACGCATATTATTATTATTATTTCTGAATGTACTTTATCTTATACCATTGATTTCAATCAAATATCTTATCATCAAATTTTACTCATGAATATAAATGAAGCAAGAAAGTTGTGTGTGAGTGGTGAATTGATATAATGATTATGAGCTAGTAATAATTTGTACTGGAAACGTGATCATCAGTTAATATTACTCACTATATAACAGTCTGTGTGACTGTCAAAATAAAATCTTATCTATAATGGATTTCAAAACTTGGCTACAAATAGATGGATGACTTGAATTCTTTGATCTGTTCTCTTACACATCATTGAATTAGATCATGTTTGGTTAAGCATTCCAAGTAGATTCATGTATGATAAAGATTATGATGAATTTTGAAGAAGTGTATGGACTGTACTGCGTATATATGGAGGTCAATTCAAGTCTTATGTTATCCTACAACTTTTGTTGAGTAGTGTACTGTCTTCAAGTCATTAGTTGTAAATATCTCACTACTATTATAGTTAAGTAAATGACCTTTCAGTAATTCAGTAGTCCTGATACATTCAATGAGTAAAACTCTTGATAAATGCTTTAAGGTTAAGGAATGGTTTATGCTTTGAAGGGATGATACTTATACGTTTGTTAGAAGTCTTTGAAAACGCTTCACTTTCATCATAAACATCATTGTTTGAGTGTATTTTAAACGATCTGGACTACAGATACAGAGAAAGAGAGTGGAAGGGATTCCTGCTTCTGTTCTAACAGGAATCTACTCTGATAGAAATGAAAAAGTGTTCAGCAAAGAGTTACTCTTTTCGGCGATATCATTCTCAAGCTGTACAAATCGCAAATTTATAGTAATTTGTCTTGGCAACAAAAGGAATATTTCCAAAGATGTGTTAATGCAATTGTTAGTTTTTGACAAACAGATTACGTAATTTTGAAGGCGTTAATCGGTTAGAAACTAAAATAAAGTTACAAAAGTAGGTTGGGTGACGTAATCTAATTGGTAGGGTTCAATGAAAAAATGAATGAGAGTCAAGTTAATAATCTGAGTAGAATTCACTTGAAAATGAATGAGAGTTAAGTTAATAAGCTGAGTAGAATTCACTTAAAAATAAACGAAAATCGAGTTAGCAACAGTCGTCATGAGCGTAGAGATTTAATAGAGGGTGGGGGTAGAAAATAATGCAATTAAGAAATAGACAAACAAAGAAGAAAGAGGTAAGACAAAATTACGTATTTGGTGTTAAGATAGATCAGGACCATTGTAGATTGAGTGACTGAACAAACTTCTTTTGTATGCAGAGTTCAGGATTCAATATGTGAATTGCCATTGCTTCTGCAGTTTGAAGAAGTTTAATTCGTACTCTTTTGGCAAGATTTCCACGTATTGTGTAGATAACTGAGAAGTTGTTTTGTGGGTTTGCTTGGTGTCCGGATTCGATCAAGTGTTCTAGGATAGAGCTGTGGCGGGGGGATCTTCTTTCTCCTTTATAAAACCATGAAGGTAAGTGTTCGCTGATTCGTTTGGATAGCAAACGCTGGGTACGGCCGACATACCTAGCTCCACATGAGCAGGTGAATTGGTAGATGCACATTGATGAGGCCCCCAGTGGAAGCTTATCCTTCACGTTCGTGCGAATCATTGGTTTCGTAGAGAAAGTTAGTCTGAGTTCCGCTGCGAAGAAGGTTTTCTTCAGTGAACGGCACAGGCGGTTTCTAAGTATTTCTGCTGAAGAATCTCCGTTGAATTGTAGATTCAAATAGAGAAGTTTCTTGGGAGCAGTAAGCATGGATGGTTTTTGTGTTTTCGGCTTCATAGCTTTTGTGATGAAACGTTCCGGGTAACCGTTTTCAAGAAGGATTCTTTTCAGGGTCTTCAGCTCTTCTTCTATAGTTTCCGGACTGCAGATGTTGTGGATAGAAATCATATTCCGGTAGTGTGTGTGTATTTGTGTGCATTAAAGTGGTAACAACATGACAAGTAAAAGAGAAGAAAAACCCTGAGCTTTTGAATCTTATGATTTTAGGTTAATTGACTACTACTACTCGACTTGTACTAATGCAGCATTGATTGTGTGCAAATGAATCCGTCTATTATGAAATCCTCTTATTCCCAGACTAAATTTCAGCGTGAACTGAGAAAGACTGCATTCATGTAAACTGACTCATCTACAATTTCATACACAATCAAGACCGAAACAATCAAGTAACGAGACAAGTATGTCACCCTTTAAGTCATTAAGAAGTTCGAATCCGGTAGCCTCTAATATGCAATAATATCTATCCCTAACCTGTTTATTGAGTATATTATCTTTTGGTGACTAGCAGTGGAATCCAGGATAACGCGCATTTCATCCTATTTAGCACTCGTCATCATCTAGATGCACCTGCATTCCCCCGTGAGTGAGTGAGTGATGATGTTCCCACTGAGGCTCGAACCCAGTGTCCATAGTTTCAAAAGCCAAGCCTTATCCAATGAGACCACTTCGGCCACGATAGCCACCTCGGTCCAATCAATCGACAGTAAAATCTAAAATTGAATTAAATAATTAATATGACACAATCCACAAGAGGTGGCCAGCTCTCTCGTGGCCCAAGTGGTCGTTTAGTGGATAACGCTTTGGCGTCTGAAACTATGGGCACTGGGTTTGAGCCTCAGCCGTGGGAACATCGTCACTCACTCACTCACTCACTCACTCACTCACAGGGGAGTGCAGGTGTATCCAGGTGATGACGAGTCCCATATAGGACGAAATGCGCTTTATCCTGGTTGGATCCCACTGCCACCACTGTCACCATCCACCAATTAATTAAGTTCTAATTACATGCTCAGACATCGTCAAAGCATCTGCACAAGAAGCCGACAGACATATCAACCTGAGACCGAGCACTTCGATCCAATCAATCGACGAAAAAATCTAAAATTCAATTTAATATTATATTATCCTTTGATTGAAAGTTATGCTTTGTTTTGGTGTGTATATCTACTATTAAAAGGTTTTTCTTGCCCCTTCAAACGCCACCACCTGTTAACTTTATATACTCCTCTTTTTCTGTCCCCTCTCTCTCTCTCTCTACCTCTGTCTCTGCGTCACTCCTTATTTCACCGTTTTATTTATCTATTTTTCCGCCTTGTGTCTAGGTCACATAGTTTTGATTTCAATTTCCCCTTTCTGTTTGTTTGTTTGTTTGCTTGCCTGTTTGTGTGTTTTTTAATTGTCGGTAGTAGGGATGTCTTTTGGTGGTGTTTTTCTTGTTGTTGGTGGAGGTGGGGGTTTCGGTGGTGCTGCTGACAACTGATGATTATGATGAATGTTGAATTTTCATGTGCTGATTTCGTATTTATGTCGAGTTAAGTATGTTTAGTTTACCCTTGTCCTGATACCAAAAACAAAATGCCTACACATATATGAGTGAGCAGTATTCATTATTATTACTATTATTATTGTTGTTATTGTTATTGTCGTAGAATTAGTAGTGTATTTCGGAAGAATT